AGTCATACTATATACGTTCAACCAAATTAAGGCGGGGTGACCTAGGTATGAACAGATCACAAATTAATGAATTTTCTGATTTCTTTTTGGCGAGGTGGCTTAATTTTTGCGTATCAACAACAACAACAACAACATCAAATACTACTATATTAACCTTAGTTAACTGGCTTAATTTTTGATCAGTTTTTTAAATTTATGTGCATACGTATGCATATACGTGTCGAAGAAACTGGCTGGCCAATAATAGTCGGGCAAGATAACGAGTTGATTCCAGGTCCACTGAAAGGTACGGGTCGACCACGAAAAGACGGCGACGTATATATTCTGGCTTTAACTAACTAATAACCAATGGATCTATGCAATGCAAAAAAGAAAAGTAGATATTCTCATCTAGATGGAATGAGCTCAGCCAGCCACTGGAACAGCATATACCAAAGCTCGATCATCAGGTCACCATCATCACCCGTATATAATGCATGCATCGACCGATCGCATCTAGGCGGAATAACCAATTCCAAAGACGTAATAACATAGTATTAGCTTCTATAATCTCATATAAATTAAATATGGAAGAAGACACTAACATGCATGCATGCATGCATGCATATATGCGCAAGAAAGTTATAAGAATTTCTTCTCGCTGTATATTTTTATAAATTTGGAATAGTTTATAGTCCCTTCATCTTCTAGACAGACCTAAGACAAGTAACTTAGAACGGAGGTAATACACAAAGTTAGATACTCCCTCTGTAAACAAATATAAGAGCGTTTAGAACACTATTTTAATGATCTAAACGCTTTTATATTTCTTTTCGTAGGGAGTAGTAAAGAACTACGACAAGTTAGAGCATATAAGTGCAAATTTATTACGGAATGAATGAACTAGCTAACTGGCCAGTTCTTTTTACCCTCCCCGTCTAGGTGAGTAAGTCATCTTAGGCTATGCACCGTGACCAAAGAAAATGGGAAAACGAGAGACATTAATGTTTATTTGCTAATTAATAGTATTGCATGCAATGAACTAACCACTGCATGTCGTGTTTGATAGTCTCAAGTCATTAAAAACATACACGCAAATGGCAGAGCGGCGGAGCCTTCGAGAACAAGGAAGCCAGTAGCAGGTTGGATCGATCCTCTGTTGCACTGTACATGAAGGAAGCATGCGAGTCCTACTCTACTATTTATGGCCTCCAAAGTCGAAAGGTAAGCATACGTGCCGCCACTACGTGTGATCTACCATTAGCTAATCCCAGTACTAAAGCTGCGTGCTTTAGGCTAAAGCAGGGCAGGTAGGGTGCAACATTTTCTTCTGTTCCGACGAGTGGGCGGCACGCACTGCACCACCACTAATTAAGCACAAATATCATCGTCCACTCTTTCCAGAGTATGTATGGAAATGAAAGCTGATTGATTAGCTAGCTACTTAAACATTAACAAGTACGGGTTAATTTGCTTACCGAAGTCCGGTAGTAAATCAGTTTAGAACGAAATTGATTTTGGATGATCATATTCTAGTCCTATAGCTTGGAATTAGTTAAGTTTTGGTTGGTGTCCGGATGCATGAATCTTACTACAGGGGATGGTAGGAGCTAGGGATTAGTTATGTTAGTTAATGGACAGATGGCGTGCATGTGCATCCATGCACCTCCAAACTTCCAAAGCCTAGCTAGCTATGTAGCCAGTAGACATACAGATCGATTGGTGTCTGGTCTGCGTCTGGATCATGCATGGTGGGCATATGCATTTGGGCAGCCACATGGGCGTGCCTCAGGATTTTCGGAAAAGGCGGTAATGCAGGCATATGCACTATGCACAGCTTTAATCTGGGGCCTTTGCAGAATCTAAGAATTTTTTTTGAGAATCTAAGAGCCTTGTTTGGTGCCAGGTGTCAAGCAGCTAGCAGTTCGTTTCTACCACCTTAGCTGAAATGCCTGGATCTTGTCAGATTTGTGGAGCATCCTTTTGCCCATCCTTTTTACTATTCTAGCTTGATGGGTTTGTCCATTGCATTGCATGCGTGGATCTATCTGCTTTTTCGTGTGGAAAACCGACAATGCCCCGCGGAATCACAAGGCGGTAATGCAGG